CTTGTTTATATTGAGAGAGATATTTTTGCTTGTATTGAAAATGAAGCTATAATGCTTCGTTTTCAAAATATGAAACCTCGTCGTGGACAATTATAGCTTGTAATATTGTTTCAGTTATGAATTATGAATGAAAGTACTATGACTTCATTTTCAATATGTTTTTCCATCCTAAATTTTTATTTGGACTTTTACGCTAAGACCCATTGTGGTAAGATTCCTGGCTCCGCCACTGGTAACAGGATGATCTTTGCCAGAAGAAATAGGATTATGGGCTGTCACGTTAGTATGCCACATCACTGCACATTCGGGTTCATTTGCAAATAAAAGATTCCAATGGCCCTTATATATTTGCACTGCATTTGCCCTTGTAGTAGAATCGGTACTGTCAAAAAATAACTCACAGCCAGAAACCTGTCTCTCATCTTCTCTGTATGTGTCTTCAAGAAAGGGCTAAGCACCAGTAAAGACAATATGACACTGAAATTTAACAAAAATGACATCTTATTAGAGAGAATATGTTGTATAAGTTTCAACATGAAAAAATATCCTCCTGATCAGTAAATAGCGGCTTTAGAAATAGAAGAAATAAAGAGATGAGAGCTTTCTCTATTGACTTCCCTCACTCTAAACAATACATACAAGGATACACCTTGTGTTGCTTGCCAATTATTATAATGGATTATTTTAATAAGAAAGTTCTGTCATTAGGCATGCAATGCAACGTGGAGAACATATGACAGAATTATCTATCTATAGATGCTATTTACTCTTGTTTGCACACTTGTTTCAATAAAATAGAGGAAGAGACACCAACATTAATTCTCATATTAAAAAAGATGAACAAATCCTATATGACAGTATTAAAAACGTTTTCAAAAACATACTGGCAGTTCAATAATAATAATAATCATAATAATATGTGACTTATGCGACATCATCATGCAAGATCCTGCAGAAGAACTCTAGCTCCTTGGGCAAGAAGTCATCATGAATGATGTCAAGTACACGTTCAAACATGTCGGTATCGGTAACACATTCAGCCTGATCCTGGACTACAGTCTCTAAACATTTTGGACTGCCTAATACTGTGCTTCCTCTTCTCAGCCATATGTTCTCCAGGGTGACATTCCCATGACAATTATTAGTATAATTGCGCACATGCATAATCGACGTGAGAATATCCCTAGAAAAAAATGAAAAACAATTTTACAAAAATGTCAGCTGGATATGATAAAATCTCCAATCTCTATGGTGGGCAAGAACAAGATGAGGAATAATAATTACCTGTAAATAGAACAGACGGCAGGAGTGATGTAACCAGTTGCCGGATCAATAAGTGGCTTTTGTTCCACTTTCATCTTCGTAACCCAATATGCAAGCGACGACTTTACTGGTTCAGTAAAGACAATCATAGGGCCCTCTGAAGTGGCGTATAAAGACTTAATGGATAGCACATATCCTGCATTGCAAGCCTTCTGAATAGAACGCCACTTCTGCACGTCTGATGAATCAGAACTCCCAAAATAATGTACTGTAGCAGGAAGGCCACAGTAGGTCCCTTGGTAAACATGCTGTGGGAGACCGTCATCTTCGCTGCGGTCAAAAATTTCATAAGGTGCATAATCCAAATAACCGGAACTGCCAGAGGAAACGTCTCCTGGTCATACAGTTTGACCCGATTTGGCACCGCGCAAAATGTAGAAGCAGCAAAGCCAGGAGAAATGACATGGCTTGAAATGCCAATGCCAATCTGTTTGCTCCGTTTGCTTGCAGACCAAAGGTGGTTAATAACACGCATCATCTGAAACAAGATACTATGAATAAGAAACCAAATCAAATTGAAAATTAAGGTTAACACAAACACATGCCAAAAAATTACAAGTAAACACACTCAAACCAACCTTTTACAATGAGAAAAACAGCAAACAACTTTAGGTTCGGCTCAGCTCACAACAAGAAATTGAAAACAACGGCTACAGTTGAAGTTGGGCCTAACCTAAAAATACAGACATTCAAGACTCAAATTGTCTTTCTTGCCCTTGCCCTCAAATGCCAAACGTCGATCGCTAATTATTTCACATCATTACTTGTAGTGCATTACACAAGTATTGATTTACACAATATAAAATAAATCCATGTCCAAATGATTATAACGATAAGCAAAGGTTTATTTTGTATCTAGCTACCAAGATAGGTTTAGGGAAGATTTGGAATTGACAATAGAAATCAAATACTAAATGCACAGGATCATTTGAAATATGTGGATTAAAAATACAAAGAAAAAAGCTTCAAGAGATATGCAAAAGGCAATTGGTTCAGATAATCAGCATGAGTGGACTGCAAGCCTCCTTGCTGGTGATACACAAAATAAAGGGCCATCCCTAGATGTGTTTCATATCTAATTTTATAACATGTACCTATAACCTTCTATGTCAACAAACTGTATGTCCAATTCATATGAAATTAACTGTAATGAATTACTAGAGCATTCCACAAGTCACTCAGATTAAAAAAAAAGTTAAGATGCTAAATTGTAACTCATGTTTATTTCAAAAGAATCAAACCAAATTGAGCATATTTATTTTCCTGAAAAATGGTAGACTAAAGAAGGATTCATACCAAAGAAGGGAAGAATATAACAAATTAGATGGCATGTCAAGAATAGAACAAAATACACGTATGGCTCCTGGCACTTGGGAAGCTTAATACTTGTGATCAAATCCAAAGGAGAAGGCCTTCCTTCTATCTTTCTCCTCAGTGATGTGTTCTGTGTAAATCTCATTTGGAAAGCGTGGATCATGTGTTTCTTCATTGTCCTTTTTCCTTACAAGTCTGGTGGAGTTTATTTAGGGAGTCCAGCTGAGTTATCCCTAAAGACTGTTTTGATTTCCTATGTACTAAGTTTGAGGCTTTGGGTAGGGGGAAGAAAGCCACAACTTTATGGGAGTGCTTGGTGTATGCTGGTTTTTGGTTTATTTGGCTGGAACGCAACAGAAGAATTTTTTTTATGATTATCAGGAAGAGGGTGTTGAGGAAATCTGGAAGAAGGCTAGATATTGGGCTGCTCTTTGGGCTTCAGTTACCCCATTTTTTAAGGATTATAACCCTTCTGTCATTATGTTGGATTTAGTGGCGGCTGTGAAGTAAGGTTGTTTCCTTCTTTCACGTTGCCTCTCTTCTCTTCTTTGCTGTTTATTTTCTTTTGGGTTTTTTTAGGCTGCTTTTGTGTTTTGTTTTGCCTGGCTGTGGATGCCTTAACCACCTTTTCTATATATCGTTTCTATTCAGAAAAAAAAATTGTCATGCATTAATTTGTTTTCCGTACTCTAATTATGATCCGAGATGCAGTTGCTCATAGAAGAATCATGATATTATATTTTGTTGTGCCACTAAATTAGTAGACCTGACATTGTTTATTTTCTATAGAATGGCCCTGGATACCCTATTGACTTGCATGGATTTTATTACAAAGAGGTAAATGATTCGATCCTTCTATTATGTTTTTATCAGAAGGTTACTTAAATCAAACAGATAAGATCAATACATTACCACTTCACCTTTCATCTTAAAATTGGTTGGGATTCCAGGGAAGATGTTTCCTGTACTTTTGTAATAACAATATATAAATTGTTGGTGAATTTATTTGATAGTCCTTAATACTGAGAAGTAATCAAAATTGTCTTTTCGAGTTCTGAGGCATAGTGGGTTTTATCCCATGCTTGTCTGCTCTGATCAGTTTGTTCTGGGTAAAAGATAACTTAATCGTGCACCTGATAAAATTTATGTATTTTTTCATTAGCTATGCATTAATGCTTGCTCATGCGGTAATTTTTTCCGTACTCTAATTATGATGCGCCATGCAGCTGCATATAGAAGAATCATCATATTATTTCTTGTTATGCCTCTAAACTAGTAGATCTGACGTTTATTCTATCTATAGAATATCGCTGGATCCAGATTGGACAAGTTGGGAATTCACAAGACGGTAAATGATTCGATCCTTCTATTTTGTTTGAATGTAAATGTCTGCACTTAGATCAGTGTTGTAATTTCTCATGTGTTCGACCTTTTCTTTCTAAATTTGGCTTGTAGTTCTTACCATATCCTAATTAATAATTCAGAAAAGTATAAACAGGCTATGCTTATCTTGGAAAATGGGGGCTAAGCGTTTTGTTCAAGCTGTGTGAATATATTTCAGCCCTGTTTTTATCTTAAAATGGAATATTACTCTGCTGATGTGTGCATTTTGCTGCAGCCAACGTTCCATTGCTATCTAAAAGGGAAAAGGGTAGATGAGGTTTCCGGTGCTTCTATCAAACACTTGAAAAAGAGACTTGAAAATGTCTACAAGTAATTCTTCTCTTGGTTACCCTACTTCTGTGTGAATTTGTGTATTTGTGAATGGAGTCATATTTTGGTGCCCATGAAGGTTTTTGACTGTTGTTGAAGTCAAGATGTGATCTTTCTATATCTTTTTATTTCTATCTTTGTGATAAATGGATGAATGATATAGCAAGTTACTAAACTGACCCTATTGTTGAATTTTTCTCATCTGCTGTACTTGCTACTCAATGTACGTAAAGTCCATCTGGGATGAAGAAAAGGAGGAAAGATGAGAATAATAGAGGATTTGTTACAGTACATCCAAGTATGTTTCCTGAAACATCATTTATTCAGATGAAGGCCGAACTTCGACAAGAAATTTTTAATTTTGATGGTGAGGAAAAGATGTATGATGAGGAAAAGATGACAGATGACGAGTACAAGATGGCAAAGGACAAGAATCACAAGATGATGTGGTTTGCCAAAGGGTTGCTTTCAAGTGAAAAGAAGAGAAAGATGTTTTGTAAATTGAAAGATCCTGAAGCCAAGCGCGAATGGATTGAGAGTGAAATGGCTAAGGAATGAACTGGAAGTACTTGTATCATGGTACATGTTACGTTGTTTGACAG